TTCGGACGAGTCAACGCAGCCTATGATAGACGACACGCCTACTTCCGATACTACGAAGCATTCTCCGACTAACCCTTCCGACTCAGCTCCTTCCGATTCTATCGAGCCGAAAGCTTCCTCATCCGACAAAACTGCTGGATCGACAACGCCTCCGACCCAACGTCCGAAATCGACTAGGTCAGGTAGGCGGGTTCATTGGCCAGCGCGATTAAAAGATTAGTCTTCTTTTTGCTTGTGGCCTAACCCGCCCAACAAAACGGTAGTTTTGAAAACCCAAAAAATTTGCAAAGCGTTTTGAAAACCCCAAAAACTGTAAAAAGGTTTTGAAAACCTAAAAAAGGAGAAAATCGTTTTGAAAACACAAAATGGTTCTCGATTTATTCGCTTATCGCACTCGGTAAGTGCTTTCGCCTTTTGTTAGCTCTGTCGCTCGCACCTCTTTGACACTCCGCGTTTCCGCTTCTTTTTCATATCCCCGACACGCGGACGTTCAACGACAATCGAACGTTACGTTTTCGGACACTACGTGCTCAAACATCATGTGCTGTGACACTACGCACTCGAACGCTACGAACATTTCCCCCCATTTTGTTTTTGGCGCCTGTAGGGAGGACACGGATGGGAGCCCCCCTAGCGTCCGATCGCATTGGTTCTCCCCCAGCAGCTGCATCAGGTTTCACCGCCTGGTCTCGCAGAAGGCTGGCCGGCGACGGACAGTCCTCACGTAGATCGAAGGGTCACCTACGGTTCCCTTCTAAGAAGGGGGCTGTGTAGTGTGACCTGGAGATTCCCCTGTTTGGCTGCCGCATGCTGCGTAAAATATTACAAAATCACAAAATCATATTTTCTCGATGTACATAGCAAATTAGCCGCTCGCCTGTTTGAACGTTGCTCGCGTTTGTTTGAGTCAACATAGCATCCGCCTTCGAACGGCGCGACGCTCATCGGCTCCGCCGCCATCTTTGCTCTCCTCGCACGCGACCACACCTTTCCCCGAGCTAGCTATCTTCCGGTGCCTTATTTTTAGCACTAGAGGGCGTTTCGCCCCACTTAATAAATTTTTCCTAACGTTACTTTGGGTGTTCTCCACTCATCGGAGGTTGGCCTTATATTCGCGTATTGGTTCTAAAGCGTACCGATCCTGCTTCTCGCTTTATGACTGAAGCCTGGCGGATTTCGTGCCTGTCTTCAAAAAGGATACCAGAACTGACTGCGCCAACCACATAGTGATTAGTCTCACCTGTGTTGCTTCCAAGGTGCCCGCATCTCTGCTTCTAAGGAGGCTCAGCCTGGTACGCGAACAGAGCATACGTGAAGAGGAAGCTGAGTTCCGCTCAGGTCGGAGTTGCATCGATCACATCATTACACTCCGCCAAATACTCGAAAGTCGTCAAACATTTAGCCAGACAACGATCGTTGTCTTCTTAGACATACGAGCCGCGTTTAACGCAGTCAACAGAGCTGCTCTCTGGAGTTGTCTACTGAGAAGAGGAGTGCCCGAGAACTATGTCACCATATTTCAAGCCATCTAGTCTTAAACCTCAGACGGAGTGCCGGTGTATGGCGGACTTTCGCAAACCTTTGGTATCCCTAGTGGCGTAATACAGGGTTGCCCAGCATTCCCCTTCTTGTTCAGTTTCGCTATAGATGAAATCATGGAGAGAACTGCGAACTCACCGGCGTCGAGCTGCTTCCGAGGGACCGACTTTGGGATTTGGAGTATGCAGATGACATCGCCGTAATCTGCGCTTCCTCACAGGCCGCCAAAAATGTTCTGTGTATGTTGGAGACGTCTTTCTCCCAGTTTGGAATGGTCGCACCATCGAAATGCAAGGTTTTCCTGCAGGACTGGCTAAGTGCTGCTCCTGACCTTACACTTCTAGGTTATTCATGAAAAGTGGTGAACAAGTTCGTTTACCTCGGAAGCTGTTTCAGCGCTAATGTTTTAACGGATGAAGTCTTTGCGCGTCTCCAAGACTCGAGTTGCTTTCGCCAAACTCGGCCATCTCTGGCGTCGAGGTGATCTGAGTTTAACTCGGAAGGGCCGAGTTCCCAGTGTCACAGTGAGAGCGGTTCTCCTCTATGGCTGCGAGACGGCCTGTTCGCGCAAAGGATGTTGAGTGGCTGTCTGTTTTGATCACCGCTGCCTTCGGAGCACTGCTGGTGTACGATGGCAACATCATGCTAATAATAATAATATTCGACGAAGGATTTTCAAATCAGACTTTGCCGGCCACTGAACAGTGTAATTTTTGCGCAGATTTCAGTGGCTTGTGCACGTACTCCGCATGTCTACTCATCGCTTACCTCGCCGTGCCCTCTTCGCGCACGCAGAAATCGGCTGTAAGCGAAAGCAAGGTGGCCAACGTATGACTTGAGTCAGGAGCATAAAGGAGCTAACGTCAAAGTTGGCCGTGGTCGGGTGCTCTCGACTCCGTGGCTGGAATGTGAAGGATTCGGAACAAACATGGCTGGAAACGCTTTCGGATATGGCGAGAAATAATGCACAATGGCGGACTTGTTGTGACTTAATATTTCCATGGGCATCGGTTTTTTTCCTCTATCTTCGTACTTTTATTGTATTGTCCATACGTTGTGGCACTACGCCAACTGTACTATTGGCCGTGTCGAATATATATATATATATATATATATATATATATATATATATATATACACATATATACACATATATATATGCTGAGGCTGATGTTGCGTTCTTGATGCTTCTTCACCGCAGTTGGGCTAAACCAACTTACACTTAAACTAGGTCTTTTTCAGCTGGATAAATTTCATTCCGCTTTATTTGGTTTGTTCTGCCTCCCTGAATAATGTTCTATTAACTGGCCACGTTGCTTACACTAATTGCGCTTATCATCGGTAATTTTGTTGCGTTTGTAGCATTTTAAGTAACTTGTGGACATTTCTTACTTATCACGGATTTGTTGCTGACCAACTTACTTCATATGGTAATTTAGCGAAAAGTTATGCCACCGTATCTGTATGCATTATTGGATTTATTTTATTTCAGCTTGTCGTTTAAATTGAATGGCTGTTGCTTGATATCCCTGGTATGGTTGCGCTTGATGTGTATGTTGACAAGGTGCCTACCTGTCTATTACCCACTACATCGTTCATACTGGCTCCAGGAGACAGTTGGTCGTTGCTGGAGGGGACGGGGTGCACGGTTCTTGTGGCCGTGCTAGGCTCAAAGAGCGGTTCCATGCACTCAGTGTGGAGCGGACTACGGTCCAGCCACCGCCTTGTGTGCGGTTGATTCCCCAAATACAACGTGCTTGTGTTTGCCTGTGAAGGAGTGTGGGCCGGCTCCGTTGATGAAACGTGGTTCCCATCCGCATGCCTCCCGGTCTTATTCCTTCGGGTTTACACTGGATATGGGGTATGTGGTTGGAGCTGTGGGTGGTGCAGCGCAAGCCATCCATGGTCCCTCTGTAGGCGCAGGCGTCCTGTGGCTTGCCACAGTGACAGGCAAATCCGAAACCGGATGCCGCCAACCATATATACATATATATATGTACTTTTTATGTGATAAAGAAATTCGTTCAGTTGATAATAGAATTCATCTTTCACCAACCCAGCATTACAATTTGTGGTTGCGTATGCCGCAACGACAAACGGGCACCGTTCGTCAACGCGGGACTTTGAAGCATTAAACGAGCTAGCCAATCTGACGGCGCTCATCTGGCTGTTCATATGGATCCAGTCAACCAGAGCAATGGCAGCTCGGGAATTTAGAGCAATGTTCGCACCGACTTGACCAGTATTTGAAGCTGCGTTATCACCAAACAAACGCAAGGAGAGCGCCTCGCTAGTGGAGCATCGCAGGGAAGTCACGTAAC